CCTGTTAGAAAAATAAAACTGTCTTAGGTGAAGATGACTCCTACCATGCGAAAAATTTATAGTTTTGTCCCCTATTTCTATTATTCTCACTGTTAAATATGAAAAAATGATGCATCAACACTATCAATTCCCTTTACAATCTTAAACACCTCAATCAGATTCCCTTTAACTCTTCTCAAGAGAAAACAACTTGAGAGATTTCAATCTCTCCTCGTATGACAACCCTTCCATCCAGGCACCATTTTAGCAATACTCCTCTGAACCCTTTCCAAAATTTCGATGTCCTTCTCAAGGTATGGAGCCCAAGAGTGAATACAATACTCCAAATGTGGCCTAAATAGTGACTTATACAATTAAATTAAAACCTTTTTTTAGACTTTTATTCAATACACCTGTATATACAACCTAAAATCCTATTTGCCTTACATACTGCATACTGTTTGGATGGCTTAAGAGCCTGATCAACTATTACACCAAGATCCCTTTCTTTCATAACACTGCTAAGATTATTCCCAACCAAATTATGGTAACTCACATGCATTATCTTACATTTATTATAATCAAAATCCATTTGCTATATATTTGCCCAACTCACTAAATCCTCTTGTAAAGCAGCAGCATCCTCTTCACAGCTAGCAACACCAAAGACCTTAATATCATTTGCAAATTTAAATAATTTATTGACTATTCATTCATCTGTCATTGATGTAAATCGAAAAAGAGCAAAGGTCCTAAAACTGAGTGAGCCCTGATATACACCACTTGTAACAACCATCTGCTTTCTTCCATCCAGCCACTCTTCTATCAAATTAGCTAACTTATCCCTCACACCTATGCAGATTTTTTTACAAGCCTTTTATGTGGCACCTTGTCAAATGCCTTCTGAAAATCCAGATACACCCTTACCCTCATGTACATAAGCAGTAACCTTTTCAAATAATGCAAAAGATTTTCCCTTAGTGAAGGCATGATGTCTATACAATAAAATTCCAAACTTTGTCAAATGGCTTTGCAAAGTATCTTTTATCAGACTTTCCAAAACTTTTCCCACAACTGATGTAAGGCTAATGTACCTAAAATTACTGGGACAATTTGTATCACCTCCCTTAAAAAGAGGAGTGACATTAGCTAACTTCCAATCCCCTATTCAAGGATTTACAAAAAAATAGTAGTAAGTGGCTCACATATCCAATCCTTAACCTCCTACAAAACCCTTGGGAAAATCTGGCCCAGGAGCCTTATTCTATAAATTTTCCAATTGCTTCTAAACAAGCTCAGAAGTAATGCAGTCATCTTGCTTCCATCTATCAACTGTTCAAATCTTCATTAGTAAAGTCTGAAGAAAAACAACATTTAATAACCCAGCCATCTCAAAATCATCAGATACAAGCCTTCCTTTATCATCTCTCAAGGGTCCTATTCCCATCCTAACATTTTGTTTACCCTTAATGTATATAAAGAAATCTTACTGTTAATTGCAGCTACCCTATGTTTACCTT